ATGGCGGTTTCTTCAATTTCATTATTTTGACGAGAGTGTGATTTGACCGCGGTGACACACCACTCTTCTTTGTGACACAGGGAATCAATAGTTGATTATATAGAAAGACAGACTATCGTGACACATAGACAGACTATCGTGACACATAGATAGACAGACTTCATGACACGTAGACAGACTATCGTGACACATAGACAGACTATCGTGACACATAGACAGACAGACTTCTATGACACATAGACAGACTATCGTGACACATAGACAGACTATCGTGACACATAGACAGACAGACTTCTATGACACATAGACTATGGTTACACATAGACAGACAGACTATCGTGTCACTTAGACAATTTATCGTGACACACACACAGACTAGGGTGTCACAGACGTGTTCGTCTGGGAGTGAGACAAGATTTCTGTCACTCTTTCTCTGGAGATGCGCCCCTTCTCTAGCCAGGCTCGGAGCTTGTCCAGGCAGGCCCGGGCCTTGATGACGTCAGCGGCGCCACCAGCAGACATAGAGCTACCACTACAGCCAGGCTTAAACGGAGTTGATCCGCTTTTCACGTTTCTGTGTGGCAGGTCTATGGGTCTAAGCCTGAAACCTGCAGAACCTGCCTTGTTCTGGTGCGATCTTGCCTTCCACTGCTCCAGTTTCTTCCTTATGGCGGGGAGAGTGTAGAGGTACGGGTTGAGGGCGGAGTTGAGAGGCAGGATAAAGATGGTCGCGACCACGTTCACTTCTCCAGGGATTGGAACTCCAACCTTAGACAGGAGACCCATGACTCCGATTGGGAACCAGCAGAAGAAATCGGTGATGACAACTAGGGCTAATTTTTTGGCAATCGTTGCGTCCTGGTTTCTGGATTTGAAAAAGAAAGCCAGAATAAAAGCCAGTGGTTTAATCAGTTTGTAGTCTTGACATTTACCCAATAGATATAGGGTGACACACACTGGGCTTTGTGATCAAAGAATTGAAAATTATATGTAAGGTGGGTTTTACATATATTATAAGAAGAAGAAGAATAAGAATAAGAAGAAGAATAATAATAAGAAGAAGAAGAAGAAGAAGAAGAAGAAGAAGAAGAAGAAGAAGAAGAAGAAGAAGAAGAAGAAGAAGAAGAAGAAGAAGAAGAAGAAGAAGA